GCAGCACAGCAGACGCGAGCACCTTCAATGTGCACCGGGTGCTGCAGTTCTCTATGCTGCGGCCCCTCAGCTGGTGTATCCGCAAGCTAGAAGGGCTCTAAGCAGCAGCAGCAGCAGCAGCTGCTGCTGCTGCTGCTGCCGCTGCTGCAGGAGCAGCAGGAGGTGCAGCAGGTGCAGCAGAAGCAGCTGGAAACGCAGCTGCAGCAGCAAATGTAGCTCCCCCAAAGACAACACCGCGCCTGCAGCAGCAGCAGAAAAAGAAATGAAAACAACTTGCTGCTGCTGCTACCTGCTGCAGCAGCAGCTGCAGCAGCAGCAGCAGCAGCAGCAGTAGAAGCTGCAGCAGCTGCAACGACAGCAGTAGCAGCTGCAGCAGCAGCATCCGTGGCATTCCGAGTAGAATTAGCAGCAGCAGCAGCAGCAGTAGCGGTGGCAGCAGCCGTAGCAGCAGCGGCAGCAGCAGCAGCAGCAGCAGCAGCAGCAGCAGCAGCAGCGTCGCGATTTCATTTGGCCTTCATAAATAAAGGAATTGTTNAGCAGCAGCAGCAGCAGCAGCGTCGCGATTTCATTTGGCCTTCATAAATAAAGGAATTGTTTCAGAGCCCATCTGCTGCGGAGGGGTTTGGGGTTGAGGGCGTCACCCGGCAGCTGCTGCAGCAGCAGCAGCAGTTACAGCAGCAGCAGCAGCAGCAGCAGCAGCAGGAGCAGTTGCTGCAGCAGCAGCAGTTGGCAAGATAGATTAACTCTTTCTTTGCTTTTTTTTATGCGCTGCTTCAAATCCCCTGCATGCATGCATGCATGCGTGCATGCATGCATGCATGCATGCATGCATGCAGCAGGAGCGAATTATATTTGCTGCTGAGGGGGGCTGCAGGAGCAGCAGCTGCAGCAGCAGCTGTTGCTGCTGCTGCTGCTGCTGCTGCTGCGGGAGCAACAGCAACCCCTGCTGCAGCAACACCACTTCCGATATCAGCCGCAGAATATGCTGTTGCAGCAGCAGCAGCAGCAGCTGCTGCTGCTGCTGCTGCAGCTGAATACAGACCTGAAC